TCTCTCATCTTCTGATAATTCAGGAGTCAAAGAGCTAACAACCAATTTAATCAGAATGATAATTAAGTTCTCTCTGCTTTAACTCTTACCATACACACACACACACTCATACACACACAAAGAAATAGAAAAATCAGAAATAACTTGACGTTAGTCATGCAGTCTTTTTAAAAAATAGTTTCCCTGTCCTCACTGTTCAAGGAAAGTAACTTTGAAATGAATTTAGTCAGTCATGTTGGCACACACCTGTGGGTAGGGCAGGCAGACAGCCAGGAGTTCCAGGTCATCTGGGACTACATAGTGAGTATAAGGCTAGCCTGAACTGTATAGTAACACCTTGTCTCAAAAAGAAAATAAAAAGAAATGACCAATTCAGACAGTCACAGAGGCACATACCTGTAATCCCAGGACGGCGGGAAGCCAGTGCAGAAGGATAACAAGTATGATCCCAGTCTGAGCAACTTAGAGATACCCTGTCTCAAAATATAAATTTTTAAAAAGGTTCAGGAAGTAACTCAATGTGAAAGCCCAGGGTTCAATCCCTGGTACTGGAAGAAAAGAAGGGAAGAGAAGGGGAGGGGAGGGGAGGGGAGGGGAGGGAAGGGAAGGGAAGGGAAGGGAAGGGAAGGGAAGGGAAGGGAAGAGAAGAGAAGAGAAGAGAAGAGAAGAGAAGAGAAGAGAAGAGAAGAGAAGAGAAGACAAAAAAGAAAAGAAAAAAAGAAGAGCTGGGTGTGGCAGTGCATGCCTATAACCCCAGCACTAGAGAGGTTGAGGCAGAAAGATTACCATGAATTTGGGGCAGCCTGGGCTACATAATGAGTTCAAGTCCAACCTGAGTTACAGAGTTAAGACCTGTCTCTCTCTCTCTCTCTCTCTCTCTCTCTCTCACACACACACACACACACACACACACACACAAAGTGCCAATTCACTTTTTGTTTTGTTTATTTCAGTCATTGTCTGTATATAAAGCTCAACTCTTCTGCTCAACCCACCCAGACAATTTATTTTGTGGAGTGAAGTGTTACTTAATTTAAAATCATAGGCACAATCAATTAAAGTCTTCGAATTTGTTGTAGTTTTGTTTTTTGATATGCTACGATAAAACTGATTTTTAATTTTTGGTTTTTTTGTAGCTCATCTACCTTTTCATTCTAGTGGCATTTAAAATTTGTTTGGGGTATTCACTATTTCATATTGATGTTTCTAAGTATAGATTGATTTTTATTTGCACCACCCAGAATTTAGTGGACTTCATGATCTTATTTCTTTATCTATGATTAATTCTGAAATAGAAAATATTGTCTTTGCATATTACCTCTCCTTTCTAGCATTCTTATTTTAATACATTAGTTCCCTCATTCGCTTTCTCTTTTTCTTAATATTTCCTATTTCTTTATCTTGTGTACTGGATTTTAGTTATTACCTTTTTCCAGTTCATCAGTTCTCTACTACTAGACATCATAATTGGTTGTTCATCTTTTATGCTGATCTTTAATGACTCTGTGTGTGTGTGTGTGTATGTGTGCTTTCAAGTCTTATTGCTTCCCTTTACCATCTACTTGTTTTTTCAGAGTGCTATATTGGCTTTTGTTACATTTCAGAACTATTTTTTCTGTTCTGAATAACAGACTCCCAAAAGTTGATCAGATCCTTGGTTGCCTGCTCAGCGGGGCACAGTGAATGATAAAGAAGGAGAAAGAAAAATTTGCAGGTTCAGGAGGACTAGGAGATCAGTGCTTCAGACTGTGCAAAGACACACTTCTCTGGCTGCCCCACTTTTTTTGTTGGCCCGTGAGATGCACGGGGGAGAGGTAGCATGCTTTTCCTGAAACAGGACTGCAGTAAGAAGCAGGTAGTACAATGTGAACAAATTTGGCATCACAGAACAAGTTAAGATTCCTCCGCACACCTGCCTGCTTGCTCTCTTTGGGTTGTTCTCTACAGATGTTACCTTCTTGCGGGAGCCCTGGGGCTATGGGGTTGCAATTAAATCCCACCTAACCAGGAAGCCTGCAGCCTTCTGAAAAAACTTCCCTATTCCTGAAGCAAATCCGAATCTTCCTCCAGACTGTGGGGCCTATAGTTTGTCCCCCATCAATGTATCATACACCCTGGTTTCCAGCAGTAGACTACTTTTGAGATGACTGTATAACTGAAAGTTAGGGTTAGCATGATAAATTCTCCCAGGGTTAGGAAGGCAGCAGTGCAGAAGAACCATTAATAATGGCCAAGTGGGAAGAACAAAGTGGTGGCGGGGTCAGCAATGGCAGGGTAGTACCTAGCTAGGCTAAAGTGAGTCTTACACTGCTTAGTAATAATGAAAAGGATGATGAAATGACAAGATTATATGGTTGCTTCGTCCTTAAGATGGCACTATAAACTCACAATTCCTTTTTAGAAAAAACGATACGTAAAAATAACTGGTATTTATGTGAGATTTCACTGAGACCTTATAATATAAACTAGAATGAGTTTTGTATGTAGACATTGCTGAGTGCTTGTATGTGTCATTCTTGTTTAATCTTTATGACAACTTTAAGAAGTGCATGCCCCATTTTTCATACTAGGACAGAGCCAGAAAGGCTATAAATGACTTGCTTCTAAGTGGTAGAGCCAGAATTTCAATGGAGAAAGCCCAAACCCAGGAACTACACTTAATATGCTTTATTAACTCTTTAGAGTACTTCACATGTTGAAATATAGGAACATTAGAATCACCAGTTATGAAAACTATTTTTCCAGTTCTGATTGCATTCTAAGAGAAATGTGTTCCCTTCTGAGATCCAGAAGACGAGGGTCCCCACTACTGAGTTAATGGGTCTCTGCTGAGCCAAGACCAGCAGGTTAGTGTAAAGGCAACATGATGTGGAATGTATGGTTCCTGGGTGCAGGCAGATAGAGGGCAAAAAGGCCATCTGTAGGGAGCAAAGAGCAGTGAGTTTTTTTTTTAAATAGGGCTTAAAGAAGGCAAGGGACATTAGGCAGGAAGATCTTAGTAAACAGTTCTCTGTGGTCACAGTTCTCTGGACATTTTGTGCCTCAGTGGGCAAAGTCCTTGAGGTGCCGGTATGAATTTTGAGTCTCTTTAAATGTCTCAGTTCCGTCTTAGATTCTGTGTTCCATCTTACTTCTTTTATGACATTCTGTTTTTGCTGAGGGCACTGGTGTTGCGATGAGAACAATGTTCCTGCTGGCAGACAAATTGAGGGAGTCATGTCTGAATCGAGCCTTACAATTTATATCTGTTTCCCTCGCTCATCTGTGAGCATCTTTGTGACCACTGTGCTCCTTGAAACGCCTGAAGTATGCATTTCCCAGGAAATCTTTTTCTGAACCCTTCCTTCTTCCATATCACACCAGATCCTGCATCTGAAGTATATCTTTTTCTCAGTATCTTTTCTTTCTCTTCCTTCTATACATCAATGATCACCACAGATCGAAAATTATAAGAGAGAAAGTAATCTGTGTGAGAAGGCAGTTTCTGTTTGAGACACCTGGGTGTTTAGTCGCTTGTGAGAGTTGGAATAAAAGCAAACAGGGCTTAAACTGCTAAGTGGTACCTATTAACCAATATACCTTTCCCTGGGGCATTCCTAAACCTGACAAAATTATACTATGCTTAACATCTGTCTCTATTTTCATCCAGGTGAAATATAATTAAAAAGAACGCTGATGGCAATCTGGAGAGGAAGAGAAGCACTAAAAAAATTAAATCCTGCAGAAGCAGCATAAATGAAGGAATGTTAGTTAACCAGCTCACTTTTTATCTCCTCCTTGCTGTTACAAGGATAGCAGGTTGTTTCTTAGCAACAGCTGGTAATAATCACCTCTTTCCTTTCTGCCCCAACTCAATAAGACTCAGCATCCAATCCCTATTTTTTCCCCCTGATTGCAAAGTTAATATCCCAAGTAGTATTCCCGGTTTGGAAAAATTTGGATGAATTTAATATTCAGTAAATCTCCCCCAAAAGAGAAAAACTTGGAAGCTTTGGCTAGATTTTAAATTGATCCTACAAGGGCCAGAAATATAGCTCAGCAGCATAAGTGCCTGCCTGGCAAGTGTAAGGTTCTGAGTTCAACTCCCAGTACTACCCAACAAAAAAGAAAAAAAAATCAGATTGATTCCACAGATGGGATTGTGAGGAGAGCTCACCTCCTGAGGATTAGAACACAGCAGTTTGGAAATGCAGCAGATTCAGGGAGGAGCCCTGTGTTAGCCATTGATCTTGGATAGATTGTTTCCCTGTTTATAAAATGAAACTACCACTAGAATCTACATCATGAACTGTTGCCAGGATTCAGCGAGCAAATTCAGATAAAGTTCTTTGCGTAATATCAGAAAACAAATAAGTATTCAACAAATGCTAGTTACACTATTGTTAAGAATCTATGTCATCACTGAAAGATTCCAACTATCAGCCATTACTGCACCTTACTATGCACCCACATTCATGCCTTAGCCCTGGAGAAATGATCTTTCTCCTTTTATTGCAAATATAACTATAGCTCTGGGTAGAAATAATGCATTGGGAAAATTATACTCCCTAACATGCAGCTGAATTGTTTAGCATCTTGGAACACTCTCTAGGAATTTCCCTGCAGTGGATAGTCATCTTAAGTGGAAAGAATCTGGCTAACACAGTTTTGTTTTATTATAGAGTAAATTGACTTTTCTCCATAAATCTCAGGATATTTATTTCATTTAGGTGAATATTTCTTGTTTTCTAAGTAATATGAAATTTGAAGAAGTATAATGCTTTAAACAGATTAAGGTATGAGTTTTGGTTTTTTGGGTTTTCTTTTTGGTACCAGGTATTGAACTTACGACCGTGTGCTTGCAAGGCAGGCGCTTATGCTGCTGAGCTAAATTCCTAAAGTATGGGTTTTAACTTCTAGAAGTGGCACACTTCCCAACTACATGAGAATATCAGGCTTTTGTAGTTATATAAAGACAATATTCTGACCAAGACAAACAGAGAAATGAGCTAACTTACCAGTGAAAGATTTTCAAATTATCTTTTATTAGATAATCTTATCACTTCACAATAACCATTTGGATATGCAAATATATAAATAGATATAATTTTCTAAAAACTAGAAAGCAGTAGTTTAGCATATCTGGTTGAATTCATATCGTTGAAAACCTTACCAAAACATTTACTGTAAAAATTAGGCAAGTTGTTTAATAAGTTTATAAAAATATTGGGTAATGTGTATATAAACATTTTCAAGCTTGCTTTATAAAAAAGAGTGCAATTTCTGTTCATATGTGCTCATTGTGACTTCAAAGGTAGTTCAAAGGGAGCACTAAGAAGGCAGCATTGCTTTGTAACACAGCATTAATTAATACTGACTTACCCTGGGACTGCGTGAAAGATCCTTTGTTATCACATATGGTGAAAATATTAAAAATTAATACTCCATTTCTATGAATAAAACATAGAAAGTAAAACTTTATTTTCCAGGCTAACTAGTTACCAAGAAAACTGCATTCATTCTTCAGATATCACTGACACCCCATGTTGTTTATTTAAAAATATTTATAATAATTGAAATTCTAAAGAAACCCACAAAACCTATTCTTCTCCCAATACATTCACTGAATGCAGATTAAAATGAGCAAACTCATTTTGATCGTGCCCTTTATTTGTGTATTTTGAAATGACTACAATATAGTACATTTGTGTTTTCAAGTGGTACCCAAATTAAGATGAATGATCTCTGCAAAACCATCAGCCTGCACGTTAGTAACAGTTGTCAAATGCAAAAAAAAAAAAAAAAAAGCCCTGAGTCAGTATTTTTTGCAGAAGTATTGGAAAAGGGTGCAGCAAAGTCAATTTATAACTTATGAAACGGTTCAGACTGTCCAGCATTCACTCGTTTTCATTTTGATTGAAGAGAGGTATAGCTTTTTTAAAGTCAATCCAATTTAGATAATTTCTTAATACTCAATTTCATTTAAATCCTCAGAATATCCTGATGACTGTTGAGTTGTATCTTCCATTTCTGTTAGGAGAGACAGATAACAAAGTGTTTTCTATTTTTATTGCACAAAATGTGTTTGATTTACATTCCTATAATTTGAAACTACATGACAAAAGCTTTTTCAATCAAGCATCCATAACTGGAAAAAGTATTATTTACCTGCACAGGGACCTGCCTGAAATTTAACGTCATCAATGGCAATATCGCTTCTTATGGACATTCCCCGAGTGGCTTCAAAAATTATCTATAAAAAAAAATTTGAATTTAGAAACAGTCACAGGATTAAACTATGCTGGTTAGGGCAGATCTAGGTTTTATGTGTTTGGAAGCTTAGATAGCTCTCAGAGCTCCATTAAAAAAAGGTTACATAGTTAATTCAAATTTAGGCACAGAAAGACATTTACTTGGTATTTAAAGAAATCCATAATAAATTACTGGAGGCTCAGAGACTCAGGTCTGTTTCTTTAGACATCTCTTTAGAGATGCCTATCTAGAAATGTTTCCTAGTATTGACCTGGTTTCCCTTCCCCGCTTAGAACACTCGACTCCCAGCATCCCCAGCACCTGTGAGCATGAGAAGCCTGGAAGCATACATAGCCTTAGGCTCTCCATAAATCCACCTTGGACACTGGTGCCAGATGGAAAAATTAATTTAACTGATGAGAACCATAACATCAAAAGCACAGCCCAGGGAAGCATGGAAATCAGCTTCACAACTTTAGGTTCTGAGAAGGAAATAACTGATCAGGTATTCTTGTTTTAGGAAGAACAGATTGCAGGTCTAAGGCTAGCTACCCTAACAACAATAAATTTCCAGCTCCTATAGGGAGGCTTCTGTGCAGTGAAAATTGTCCAGAAGTTGTATGTTCTCTACCCATTTTATGAGCAAATGACTTCCCTTTGGACTAGATTATGATTTAAATAAAAAGAAATCCCTTAACCAATTTAATCAAATTAAATAAGGATGTTTGACTTATTTTATTTTATTTATTTATTTTTATCTTTTGAGACAGGGTTTCACCATGCAGTTCATTCAGGCTGGCCTCCAATTCACAGCAATCCTGGCTCAGCCTCCTGAGTACTGGGATTATAGATGTGTACCACCTCACCCAGCTTTAAATAAGGATATAAATTGAATAACTTTTTTTTTGAAATTAGCAATTTGAATCTTTAATGATAGACACGTGGTAAAATAAAGTTAATAAAATTTCTGGAATGATTACTTTTCGATGTTAATTTGATCAGTCTAAGGGCATCTAAATGGCTGGGAAAGCATTTCTGATGATATCCTTGAGGCTGTTTCTGGAAGCAACTGCCATTTGAATGAATGGACTAAGAAAGATCCGCCCTCAACCAACATATGTGAGCACTATTTAATCTGCTGTGGAACCAGCCAGAGGAAGGTGAATTCACTGCCCGTTTTGGATCTAGGGCACCCTTCTTCTCTTGCCTTTGAATATCAGAACTCCAGCCTCTCAGGCTTTCAGACTCTGAGACTATTCCAGTGCCCTCCTAACTTTTCAAGCCTTCCACATCACACTAAGAGTTATAACACTGGTTCCCAGGTCCTAGGTCTTCAGACTTGACTACTCTAAGCTGCTTTCTTTTTTTTGTCTTTTTCATTTTTATCGGTACCGGGAATCGAACTCAGGACCGCCTGCTGGCAAGGCAGGTACTTATGCCGCTGAGCTAAATCCCCAGCCCCTTAACTTTCCTAGTTCTCTGGCTTGCTTGACATATCATGGGAATTCTCAAATATCATGATTTCACAATATAATTCCTATAGTAAAGTCTTATCCATCTTTCTGTCTTTCCATCCACCCGTTCATCCATTCAGCAGCCTATTGGTTCTGTTTCTCTGGAAAACACTGATTAGCATTAAACCCCAAGGGCTGGGGTTTAGCTCAGCAGCACAAGCACCTACCTGGCAAGTGCGAGGTCATAAGTTCGATTGCCCAGGTCCACCCCCCACCAAAAATTCAACCCTAAACAAAAAAATCCAAATAAATGGCAAGAAAAGGGGAAAACATATTCTAACACATCTAGGTGGGAGGATATATGAGTACAGTTAATAAACATTTTAGTTTTAGAATAATAATAAAAGCTCTTTATTGATCTCCAAGTTTGCAATGGAAAGTAACAGAAAAAATTTGGAGAAATTATATTCTGAATAATCTGTGACTTGGCCAAACACTTGATGTCATACAACCTTCTCCTTTAAATGTCCTTACGCCTTACTGATACCCATTTTGCAGCAGTATGGTATACCTATTATATTTAGAGCTATGTAGCAACGTATCTTCTTTTTTTAATTGATGGGATATATTTGGCTTCTTTATGTGCTTTTGGATTTACCAAGAATACTCTGGGTAGCTAATGACAATTATTTATTTATAGACTGAACAGAACACATAAATATAAGACTATATGAGAAAATACATTCTTGTTCCCAAGCTATGTGCTGAGACTCTCAACTACATTTTCAGGGTGCTGTGGGATAGTTTGAAATTCCAAGGGAAACAGCAATATTCAGTATCCAGAAGACATTGTGTGAGCAATCAGTTAGGTCATTTAAGTTTCACGATTAGGTTGCCCTCTATTCCTTCAGAACAAAACAAAACTATACTCCTTGTGAAAACATTGTATTTTGTTTATTTACTTGTTTTTGTGGTACTAGTGGTGAGCTCTACCACTGAACTACAACCCCAGTCTTTTTTGTTTTTTATTTTGACAGAGGATCTTGCTAAAGGTCCCAGGCTGGCTTTGAACTTGTGACCCTCCTGCCTCAGCCTCTTTTGGAGCTAGGATGACAAGCATGTGCTACCACATCCAGCTAATATTTTTATAAAGCTGTTTTTTCAGTGCTATAGTTAAAAGCAAGTACCCCATAAAATCAGTATAGAATACCACACGAAATGGTGCATCCATCCTCTTTCCAAAGGCTGACAGCCTGTGCAGTGCCCAAGAGGTACAAGTAGTCTGTTACTAATTAAATACGGTCATTTAAGTATTTGATTAAAATTTTTTCTTTTTTTCATATACTTTTTTCCCAATGGCTGGCAAGTCATTAGGACAAAAACATTTATCAACTGTTTGGACCAAACATTTAATAAACGGAACTAGTTATTTCTTTTAGTCTGGAAACTCCAGGGAAAAATCACCAAGACTCAGTGCACCACGAGGAAACCAGCTGGAGATGTGGCACCCAGGATTCCTGGGAGGAGCCGGCACACGGGAACTCCTAGGAAATGTCCAGCACTATAATTAACCACGTGATGCATGCAGATGTTTCAGTGAGTTGAGAATTTGTCCAATACTTTCTATTAGTGACATCAAAATCTAAGAAAGGAAGGCAGAGAACACCTAAAAGCAGCAGGGGAAGGATACTGAAAGGAATCAAAACGAAATAGAATGATCTGGTGTTTCTGATCAATAGTCAGCTTTCTGCTTAGCACCTCAACAAATCGCTTAGGAAGGAGAATGATTAAGATTTTGGCCTTGCTGTTTTCCTCCCAAGAGGATAATCTGATGGTTGGCAGGTCTTTGGGGGACACCCACACGTCTGTCCCACAGGAGCAGCCTCACACAGCGCACAGGATCCCAAGCCCAGGCTACACCCGCTCACCTCCACTGACGATGAGCACATTTACTTCCTGCACTCTGTTCCCTGCCCTGAACTCCAGTCCCCTATCTATTGCTTACTGGAACACCCACTTCAATTTCCAACATATATAAAAACTCAGCATGTCTGAAACACACGTCAGTCTCCTGCGTGCTCACACTGATCTTGCCCAAATCTTCTCAGTTTAGTTTTCCTTCTCTTCATAAATGGCATCTTAGTTGATCGTAGCGACTGCTCAGGCCAAAAACTGTGGAGTCATCTTGACTCCTCTGCCTCACGCCAGCTCCACACAGTACACATCTGAAGTTCTCTGGGCTCCTGACATCTCACCAGTGCTACCCGGCCTGGGCCACCGCACCTCTGCCCAGGTCCCCTTTCCTCACGTCACTGTACTTGCTTCATGGCAGCTGGAGGGATCTTCCAGTCAGATCACATTAACTTTTTAAAGCTACCTGGTGGCTTCCTCGTGTTCCCGGAATAAATTTCAAACTCTTACCCTTCCCTCCAAGGCAACAATCATTGTCCATGCTTTTCCCAACACTTTGGTTACATCCCCGACTGATTTGACTTTCTCTTTCTCTCTTTTTTTTGGGGGGGGGGTGTCTTTTTTTGAGACGGGGTCTTGCTATGCAGTTCAGGTTGGCCTTGAGCTCACTTTGTAGCCCAGGCTGGTCTCGAACTTGCAATGATCCTCCCACCTCAGCCTCCCGAGTGCTGGGATTACAGGTGTGAGCCCCACGCCCAGCCAACTTTTTCCTTCTCTTCCCCTACCTCTTTCCCTCCTTTCATTTAAAATATACTTTAAATGAAAAATTATAATCTTACACCTTCATAGGGTACAATGTGATGTTTTGACATATGTGTACAATGCAGGCTAACTAAATCAAACCATTTAGTGTATCGGTTACTTAAATTTTTTTGTGGTGAGACATTCGACACTTATTGCTTGAAATACAATTATTATTATTATTAACCTAATACTGGAATTTAGTATATTATGGTTGACTATAGACACTCTTCTGTGTAATAGATTTCAAAACTCATTCTTCCTGTCTACCTGGAACTTTGTAGTCTCTACCAGAAACTCCCTATTCTTTCTCTCCACCTATCACCACCAGCCACAGGGAACCACCTGGGTTTCCCCCAGTCTGTAACCTGTAAGATCAACTGAAGAACATAACAAACAGCTCTGAGCACAGTAGGTGGCTGGCACCTGAGAGATGGCCAGTCTTTGTGTGCATGAGTGTGCCTGCATTTTATTAGACACTAGGATATTTTGGAACACTTAGGGTAGTCTGGTCCCCCTGCAGTTCTTTGGGATGACTGAGGGAGTGGCCAAGTCCAGAGGAGATTCTTATTTGTTCCATCTAAGCCAGAGGGGACAGTGTGGAGCCTTCCTTCCAGAAAATGTCGTTATTCCATACTCCTTGGATTAGAATCCTCAGATGCCTCACTGCTTGGAACACACTGCAAATGATCAGCTACGCAGAAAATCTAGGATGTGAAAAATACTCTGCCTGACCCAGAGCTGAGAGTTTTAAAAATATCAGTGTTGGATTGAAGGGCATAGCTCGGTAGCAGAGCAATTGCCTAGCATGTGTGAGGCCCTGGGTTCCATCCCGGTACCGCAATCAATAATGAAAGAATACATGTTCCAACACCACCTGCAAAGAGTCAGATTCACTTTATCTACTATAAAGATTTTCTATCTTTGTGTGTATCAAATCACCTGGTGGACTTACTCAAACAGATTTCCAGGGCCTGAGAGGTTCTGATTCAGTGTTTCTGAGGTGGCACCTGAGAATCTGCATCTCAGGTGAGCTTCCATTACAGGCATTGCTAATGTTCCTGATACCTGGGCCATGTGTTGAGAACCTCTGATAAGTTTAAAGTATGACTGCCCTAACAAAATCAAGCCAGTGTCTCTGGATAAGGATAACTAACATTAAGTCCCTGAAAGATCTACTTTCCTTCTATAACAGACTTACCACTATCAAAATTATTCCCGGGGCTGTTATCTTTCACTAAAGTTCTAGATAGTTTATCCATGTTGCACTAAGTGACCTTCCATGGACAATGGACATTTTCCTTTTGCCATTTGCTATTTTGCAGTGTGGCATCTTGAAAGGCACTGTATTCCAACCATGTGAGCTTTTCTAATTTCTTCTAATTTATTATTTTTCAGTAGTGGGGCAGCACAAAATAAAGCCTTTATGATGGATAACTCTTCCCAGAAAGAACTGGGCTTAGACAAGGCAGCTAGTGACTAAAACTAAGTAGTTCTGGCCCAAGGAATTATCAGCCAGAAGTAAGAATGAGGAGGAGGCCAGGGATGCTGCAGAATATTTTGTTTGTTTGTTTTTTGAGACAGGGTCTTGCTATGGAGTTCAGGCTGGCCCTCTACTCACTATGTTGTCCACACTGTCTGCAAACTCTGGGAGATCCTCCTGCCTCAGCCTCCGAAGTCCTGGGATTACAGGTGTGCGCCACCATGCCTGGCTCTGCAGAGCAATTTCAAGAACAGGAGCCTGGAAGCCATCACCCCAGATCTTTCTGGAGCATTGGCCCAGGGTAGGCAGGTGAAGTTGGTGGTTAGCAGAAGGCTGCCCCTGTTCTCTAGGCTACATTGACTGCTCCATGTCACCTCTAGGAATTTAAACAGATCTTTCCTGTTGCTGCCCAGGTTCCCTCAGGATGGAGATTATCAAAGACAGAGGCTTCTAGAGGACACAATTGGGCTGAGGCAGGACGCGGACTTGGGGCCAAGACTGTGTCATCCATGTCATTGCAGTGACAGTAGAGGCTAAAAACAACTCTCTTTGGACCATCCCCACTCTTAAACAGAGGCTTAAAACAAATTAGGGATGCAGCTGCAGCAACCGATTAGGCAACACTATATTTAGAGGGAAGGAAAGCTTCGTTCTGGAGGTTTGCAGGACACATGGAAATAGACTTCAGATTCGTAACGTACCACGACAAAAATAGACACGCTTTCATTGCTGAATTGCAAAAAAATTACTTCATGTAAAAATATCCAAAGCTTTCTGTCCCCATCTAATTTCCCATTCACCATTTAGATTTAACTCACGTAGAAGCTAATTATATTTACTCTTAAGCAAAACTTGCCTTTGTCTATGACCCAGAAAAGGGACAGCATATTCTCCTGGTGCTTTGGCTAGCGAGTGAAAAGAAGGACCGAGAAGTGGAGATGCATGCTTATGGAGGCTCATCCCCTCTGCTCACCTGGTGTGGCTGCGTGCAGCTGTACTCAATCGGTGCTTGCAGCCAGGAAACGCTCTGCTCGCCTCTTCTCCTCCATAGCAGAGACTCTGCGCTGTCTTTTTCCTTTTTCAGGTAAACACTCAGCAGACCAGTCCCCGCTCCGTACATGTGGTAGAAAAAGGTCAGGCAGTGTTTTCCGGGGACGCCGCGCAGAGGCCTGGACAGGAGGCGAGCTTTCTGCCCGTACACCATGTGCGACGCCTCGATGTACATGTAGTAGCCTTGGAAGAGTGCAGAGCAAGGACTGTTAAAAAGGGCACAAGGGACAGCTTCTCCTCTCCTAGTGTTCCTGGAAACGTGGGTGACTTGACTGCAGTACTGAGAAAGAGTTATAATTCGGTAGAATAGATATGACCCTCAGAAAATAGTATGATAGCAGAATTAGACTATAAAACAATTTCTAAAAAATGCAATGCTTTAAAATCCTATTTAGTAGGGATTGATGTACCATTATTTCAACACGAATGTGGTGATTTTCACATCAGAATTTATCTTGCCAATAGTGTGAAGCTGTCAATTGCTTACCCCCCTCCACCTCTAACCCCTGTGTTCAAATCCTAATCCCAAAGAGAGGCCAGAGAGAGGTACTTTTTTTTTCAAGCAAGGGCAGAAAGTCTCTAGTCCCCACACAAGGGAGCCCAGAGACTCCCTTGTCTGCTCTTCAAAGGCAGGAGAAGACGACCATCTGTGAAGACAAAGCCCCACTCTCAGACCTCAGGCCCACTGGCACCTTGATCCTGGGCTTCTCAGCCTCTGATGTAATGGGAATAACTTTCTGTTGTGTGCATCCTGCTCAGCTGATATTATTTTGTTGGAGCAACCTCAATGCACCAAGATACAGCCTCACCCAGAATCTCTCTCCAGCTCTCTTACTTTCTCAGACTCAACCCAGAGTGTCCTGTGCCACCCCTCTCCTCTCACCCTCCATGTTCAGGTTGTCAGGAATTCCTGTCGGTTGCAAGCTCAAAGTGTGTCCAAAGCCAGGAGTGGTGGCACAGGCCTATCCTCCCAGTATTTGGAAGGTTGCTGTAGGAGGGTAAGTGTGAGGTCATCCTGGGCTGTGCAGTGAATGCAGGTCTAGCCTGAACCACATAGTGAGATCCTGTCTCAAAAAACCAAAGAAGAAAATAATGGAAGAAACAGACATCCAGAATCCTCACTTCTCACTGCCTCTACTCATTCAAGCCACTATCATTTCTCACATGTGAGATGTAACGCCCTCCCAGTTAGTCTGTCACTTCACTCATTCATTCATTCATTTTGGCTTGTTGAGATGATATCGTACTATGTGGCCCAGGCTGGCCTCAAACACATGCGGATCCTCCTGCCTCAGCCTCCTGTGTGCTGGGATTACTGGTAATCACCACCACGCTTAACTAGTCTGTCACTTCTACCTGCATTGTCCGCTGTCTAATTTTGATACAGTCTGCCTAGTGATCCTTTAAACAGAAGCTAAGTCTTGCTAGGGTTCTGTTTAAATCTTCCACTGGCTCAGCATAAAAGCTGATGTCTGCAGGATCCTGGACAATCTACCACACCTTCTCTTACCTCACAGGTTCCCACCACTTTCCACTGCTGTCTTTCTGCAGCTCTACCTTGCTTGGCCACACTCGACTCTGCCTTCCCGGATGAGCCACCATGGTCTTCTGCATGTGCCAAATCTGGCTCTTTCTCCAGTATCTGCAGCTCTGGCTCTCTTCTTTAAGTCCTTGCTCAGATGGTAACTTTTAGGCCAATTCTGACTATGCTATTATTATTATTATTGTTATTATTATATTATTGTCTTTTTTGAGGCAAGGTTTGATTATGCAGTTCAAGCTGCTCTTGAAATCACTTTGTTAGCCCAGGTTGGCCTTGAACTCGCAGTGATCCTCCTGCCTCAGCCTCCTGAGCGCTGGGCTTACAGGCATGCACCCCGATGCCCGACTATTTCAATTATTTTTGTAGCATTTAATTGCCTTGTAGCATATTACATAATTTCCTGATCTTTACTGTTTTTTTGTTTCTCTCCTCTAGATTATAAAAAAAACAGAGATTTTCCTTGTTTGGCTCACTGCCTTTCTGGCACTAGTCTAGTTTTCTTATATAGTCCTGACCTTCTAGATATTGTTCATTTGTATTTTAAGACTACACATATAAGGCAGTATCAAGCTAGAGCAATGCAGACTAATGCTTTTACCTAAAATAATTTTAGCAAGTCAGGCATGGTAACATATGCCTAAAAGCCTATCTATGTGGGAGGCTGAGGCAGGAGGATCACAAGTTCAAGCCCAACCAGGGCAACTTAGCCAGATCATGTCTCAAAGAAAGTAGGAAAAAATAAACAAAAAGTTTGGAGCTATATCTCAGTGCTACTTTGGTTCAAGACTCAGTATTAAAAAATACAAAAACAAAAATAAAAAACTAAATCCACAAGTCTGTCAACTGATGCCCAAACCAATTATTCCTCTCCATGAAACATTTTTCCTTGTCTTGCACATGAGATTTCCTCTCCTGAGGAAAGATCAGAGCTTCATCGAGGGCTAGTCTGCCTCACATATGTTTGGAAAGCAGAGAAAAGCCCTGGGTGTGGGCAAATTTTGCCACATTACAGCCTCAAGCGTTGTTTGTCCCAGCAAACAAAGGCTCTGGGCAGCAGCCAGGAAGCCCCAACACTGACGCTTTGGACCCACACACGAAAGCGCCCAGTCTGTGAAGGGATGGTTGGCTGGGGAATCGCAGTCCCTGGGTGGGTCATTGTTTAACAGTCAAGATGAGCTTCTGGCGGGTTTGCTGGGAGACCAGAGCCCCATCTGCTCCCTGCGTCACGGCTATGATACTGATGGGCGCATACTGCGCCCATCATCCTGCATTATGAAGCAGCTGTTCCTTCAGCTCCTAGCTGGCTTTGTCAGAGCTGGAAGGGTGGCTTGGGGAAAAGCCAAGAGGGGGAGAGGGTGGAGTGGCTAGCAAACTCAGTAAGCTAGAAGAGAAGGTCTAACGATTTGGAGAGGGAGCAATCTGTCCTCCGGCCAGGACAGTTGCTCAAGGTGTCTCTCTGAATGATTCTTTATCTTTAAATGACTCTAAAAGCTTGTCATAAGTGAGTATGGGACTCCAGTGCTGGATAACAATAAATCCTAGAGACAGAAGGTGGTGGCTGTTGTACAATGATGTGACTGAGCCTTGTGCTACTGAATTACACATTTGAAAGTGTTCTAAGGGTAAATTTTATGTTATGTATATTTAAACATGAGTATTTTTTTTTTTCAAGAAGCTCACCCTGCAAGCTTTCTCTGTGTAAGCAGGATCTGACAATACCAGAAACCAGCACGGTAAGGTTAGTTATAGAAAGCTTGGAGATGGCGGTTTTGATGTTCTAAACCCAGTTTCATGACTTCAGACTAGTTGGGTAGTTCTGTTACCTGTCTGGATGTCAACAACCAAAATGTAAAAATGTCAGAACTTGAGCCAGGCCTGGTGGTGCAGGCCTGTATCCCAGCACCCTAGGAGGCTGAGGCAGAAGGAGCTCAGGTTTGAGTGCAGCCTGGACAACTTAGTGACTTAAGAGACTCTGCCTCAAAATAAAAAGTGGGCTGGGATGCAGCCAGTCTGAAGGCCCTAGATTCAATCCCTAGGTTATTGGTGTGGGGCAGAGGTGGGAGCAGGGAGGGGACAAAAGACAAGGCCTTGAGGCAGATCGCTGTTAAATTCAGTTATACATTCATACACAAAAACCCAAATACCTCATTTTGATTTTGTTGTTTCTAAAGCACAGTTTCACAAATACATTTCACTTTTTCATATTTTTTTCTTCCTTTTTTTTTTTTGTGTGTGGAACCAGGGATCGAACTCACGACCTTGTGCTTGCCAAGCAAGTGCTTTTGCCGCTGAGCTAAATCCCCAGCCCCACTTTTTCATATTTTAATGTATTATTATTTCACACAGAAAAGGAGTATTTTTGGAAATGAAGAACAGTCCTACCTTCACCTAGTATCATGTAAGAAGAAAGATTAATTATCAGAAATAGTGAAGATTCGTTGAAACCTTAAGTATGCAAAAAAAAAAAAAAAAGTAAAGAAAATGAAAGAACAGAAGAAAACAACATGTGTGTCTTTTTTCTGGAATTGATAAAGAACAATGTGAAGTGGCTTTTCTGGGTAGTAGCAGAATGGAGAGGGAGGATCTGATGTCAGTCTGGCCCCTCAGGGACTCTGTGGGAAGGAACTAGAGATGGAGGTAATGTCTCACTAAACTGGAGGGTGGCCTGGTGATTTATCCACTCCATTCTCACTTGCTACAAAATCTCTATAAGAGCCAGGTCAACTAAAACAAACATTTACAACAACTTCTGGCAGCCTGGAACCCTGTAAACGCAAATAAAATGACGGTGCCCAATAAAACTCTGGGAGGTTTGTTAAGAGTTGCTTTTATTGTCTTGTAAAGAAGCAGCATCTGTGTGAAGAAACTCTCTGGTTCTGCAGAGGAGAGCTGCCCCAGCAGATGGTGGCAAGAAATGGATAGATAAATTCTGAGTCCACCCCCAAAACTCGCTTCAAATCACCAGCCATCTGTCACAAATGCCTTTATTCCTTTAATAGGACTCAAATGATAGGACTGGACTGGTTTTTGGGGGGTGGCTTTTGCTGTTAGTTTACTAAAATGACTAGTTCTGCAAATGTTTTCCAAGTTTAGTCATACAAATCTGAATTTCAGGTTTGGTTTTTTTTTTTTTTTTTTTGTCTTCCCATATACTACCTATATTCATGTATAGTTTTATTTGAAGAGATTATACTTTCATCGCTTAAATACCTTTGTTCAAATAGGAAACTTCATATATGAAAACTGAAAACTAGCCATAAGCTTACGAAATAATGGCTTTGAAGTACTGGTTATAGAGCTTTTTTAGACCTTGGGTATTCTTACCAATTGAAAAAGAAATTCGTGCTTTTGAATTAGCTGGTGGTAGATGTAAAGCAATCTGGGAAACAATTCTTCCAGGACCTTTTCCAGGACCTCTATCAAACCTTTGATTTCTACTAACTTTTCTTGTACTCATAGGCCATGGTTTTTCATTTTTTAGAAACACAAATAACATAAAACAATGAGTCCAAGGAACTATTTCAGAGATAAACATCAAAAAAATTTTTTTTGGTCTTTTTTTTTTTTTTTTTGATTTCACATCATGATACTCCGTGATCAGTACTGGGTACTGTAGTGTCTTTTTTTTTTTTTTAAAGTT